AAAATAAGCCTCTAATCGACATGAGGTATACTTATTGATTTTGTTCCTAAGGAAATTTGCTACAAGGGTAGGCTTTTGCGAAAGTTCGCAAAATTTTTTTATTTTGCAACTTAAAAATCTGAAATTTACACAGACGCGAGATAATGTAATTACCTTTAGATCCTTTCTTGTCGAATTTCGATATCTTGACTTGGGCAGAAGATACACGCGCTAGCGTTTTCGACAATATAATTTTGCAATACGCCGCCATTTTTTTTTTGGGGTCCGGATTGCAGGTATTTGTTAACCACCCCAACAGTTATCTTTTCCTGTAGTTTCATCCAATTTCAGTCAAATTTGTTATTTTTATTTAATTCTGAAAATTTAGTACATTTTTCTATTCACCGCTAATTTTGCAATATAAAAAAAATTTTGCGAACTTTCGCAAAAGCCCACCCTTGTAGCAAATTTCCTCAGGAACAAAACCAATAAGTATACCTCATGTCGATTAGAGGCTTATTTTTGGAAATATAAGCAAAAAACTGAAAAAAAGCAATTATTTTATTTTCTTTTTTGTACCTAGCCTTACTTGAAAGAATATTGTAAATCTGCAAACACATCTTCATTGACACTTTTTGCCCTCTATCCGATTTGTTATACAACGTTTCGCCTTTCCGGGGCTATCATCAGGTTAATTTTTTTAAGTATAGTTGCAGTTTTGGTAGCAATTCATGATGTTTTTACATACAACAAACAGCAAGTTTAAATTTTAACAATTCGTTCAGTATTTGATACCTTCCATCTTCAGGTGTCCAAACTTCCAAATCTCTTTATTTTGGATCAGTTAAATGTTTAATTAGAAGGCTTTTTTTATGAGGGTTTAAGCCAAACTACATTAAAATACTAAGTTTCAAAAATATGAAATAGTCATTTTTTCTTTGACACCATTTCTTAGAAGTTACTTCAAAAGAGAAATGGGGTAAAAAAAAACAACTATCTCATATTTTCGAAAGTTAGTTTGGTTATCTCACAATTTTTTTAATTTAGCATTTGAACGTAAGTTTAACCCTTACAAAAAGGTCTTCTAAATATTCTACTGAGCCAAAACTCAAAACAAAGAGATACAAATCTATTTTAGGACACCTGAAGATGGAAGGCCAAATAAAGAACGAAACGTTAAAACTTAAACTTGTTTGGTGTGTGTTTGACAAGAAAAAAAATAATTATATTTTTTAAAATTTCAGTTTTTCCCAAATATGTATTTCAAAAATAAATTGCGATATTCTTGACTTCTTGGTACCATATTTTTAGCCTCCTAATTGCGTAACTTTGTTCTAATTTAACCAAATTTGTAAGTATCTCTTATAGAGAAGGGAAAATATTGGGTCTTTTGATTTTGAAGGTTTGAACCCGGTTTAAACCCATTTGAAAAGACCCGGTTTAAACCCAAACCCTCTTTTTAACTGTTTTGTATAAAAAGGTTTAGTTATCAGTTATGCAATCAAAGAATTTCCAAACTATGTCTTTGCCTCGACGCATTTATTAATATTAGGTACAGAATTAAAAATTAAAATTCTTAAAAACTTGAGATCTTTCCAGTACCTATGTAGGGTGGGGTCAATATTTGACATTTTAATCTGCTTTGAGGCTATAAAATGGCGCGAAATTTAAATTATTGAAAAGAGCCGGTCTAAGTAAAAAGGCCGGACCCGGTTTAAATCCTTTCGACACAACTCTAATCTCTTATAATAAAAGAGAAGCGAGGCACCCATGGTGAGCCTCTTGAATGACTCACCCTGTATACATCGAGGCAGGGCAGGGCAGCAAAGTTTTAGTGCCGCTATGTTCCCGCCACATCAAACTTATATTTTTTGTAATGAAATATCACTTTATTATTTGCATTTAGTTCATTTTAATAAGGCAAAAAAGAAAATGTAAAGACCCGGCTTGTATACCTAATGGAAACCCAAGAAAAGAAATTAAAAAACATTTTAAATTCAATTTTTTTTTGGTAAGCAAATAAGCAAAAAAAAATAAAAAAGCAAAAGTTAATTGTTAACACAATATGAAATTAAAATTGTGTTAGTCATATTCATATTCAAGAATGAATTACTTTTTTGGTCGTCACTTTTTTCATTAAATATCCAGTGGTTTCCTTCTTATCATTAAGTAGCTACTGATTTGTGGATTGAAAAAGCTGTAAATTTATTTTGAAGCTACCAAGGCTAGAACATAAATAACGATTTTATGTGGGACACCCTGTACGTAAAATTTAATCTTTATTCTTAATAAAGAAAAATTAGTACATATTATTGGTTTTTTATGCGTTATATTTTTGTACTACTTAAGCTTTACAAAATCTTATTACTTAGGTACTTTTAAAAAATTATCCATATTTATATATCAAATATAATATTAGACCATTATGCTTTATTTTAGCACGCATTTTATAATAAACCAACTCTGTGTTTTCACTTTCATTTTCAAGGGTAGCGACACCTGTGAGAATAAATACAAACTAATTATAGTTAGAATTGTTAGAAATATCTTGTGTGCAGATAGGAATCTCGAGAATTCTGGTTTAAATAAATGGAGTCGTGTGTAAAATGTTGTCATTTTACTTGATGACACAAATTATAGAATTATTAACAAATATTAATCTGAAAATTAAATACAAATGATTCTAGGTGTCCGTTCTAGTGAGTTAAGTAGTTTGGTTATTGTGCTTGACCTAGTTCCGTTGTAAATGCAATATATTGACAGACTAACAGTATGGTTAAAATTGAGGTACTTTAGCATTTATTTAAATTATTCTCCTGTTCTCATGAGCATTGAAATTTATCTCACTCACTAGCGGGAACCATTGCGAATACATTGATATATAATATTCAATTATGTTAGTTTCTTCGATGATTTGTGTCCTCATCTGAAGCTCTGTTACACGGTAAAAATATACATACTAAATCGCCCCCTTAAAGGTTATCATAGAACATTTGAACGTAGGCATTGTTGATTTGAACTACTACTGTGATAGTAGCGCTGAGTAAAATTTGCTTGCATATTCTATGAATTCCATGATGGTAAATGCAGATTAAACAATTCGTATTGATCGTAGTTTTGAGCAGGTTTCATTTTTTATACATTTAGACTAATATACATACTTACTTAACAAGTATTACCAACAATTTTTTTCTTTGTTGAAATGGCCACTATTATAGGATGTATTGTAGTCCAGGGAACGAAGAGAAAAATAGCGTAAAACCTTCGAATACTTTCGGATAGACACGATTTTTATGAAAACTTGGAATACAGCTCATTTCACCCTGTAGATAAAAAATTATATATGCTTGATATACGCTTCTTATTTTTAGGGGATGAAAACCATCCCTTATACTAAAAAACTAAATAAATGTAAAAATAAGTGTATTGGACTAAAATCATATCTTAATATATAGAATAAATATTGTTGTATAAAGTTCTCACCCTTAACAACCATCCTTAATGATAAAAATATAAAGTTAATAGTTTCTTTGACCTTAAAATATTTTTATAGCTCACATATTATAGATAGAAATCTTTTCACTAGTTTATGGTATTAGAAATAATTTATTACAATATTTCAACCCTTAAAAAACTACCCCTAATAACAGGATAAATTCAATTCTTTTACCTGTTTATAATACAATTCGTAATTTATCGCATTGTTTTAACCCTTAAAAACCACCCCCAATGACAAAATATAAAAAAAATCTATTTTCTCCTATAGTGTTTATCAGATCACTGGGTTTCTTAAGAATCACCCTTCATTATACAAATAAAAACAATTTTATACAATTAAAGTTGATAAGTAGAATTATTAAAAGATTAAAGGGAAAAAGTAAAGGTATTCTTTGTAGGTATATAGTAAACAAATGTTTTATTGTTAAATTAAATTTATGTATACGTAAAATGTATATTAAAATAGTTATGTATCTACATCGTCGCCACTGTCGTTTTCTTCCTCCTCGTCTTCATCTATTATTATCGGCGGTAAGGTACCGTTCGTTTTTTAAGAAACATGACCTTCGCCCTCAACTGCAAACAAAATATTCTGTGAAAAAAAATTTAAACTTTTGTTCTCCTGAATATTTTTCGCATATTTTTTATTTTTAGTTGTTTTCAAAAATGTTATTTTTTTTTGGAATTAAATTTTTTTTTTAATCAACGTAATATTTTCAGAGATGATTTTCAAAGACTCTATTGCTTAAACTTGTATAATATTTTGTTAGCACATAAAAAATGTAAATTGTGGAAGGATTACCTTTAATTTTAAATTTCGTGAAAAAATTATCAGTTTTTGTACTGATTTTTTTTTCTGAAAAGTGAATTAACAGTTTTATTTTGATCATAACTTTGTTAATTTTTATGCTAATGACAAAGTCAAGTTCATTTTAAAAATTTTTTAAAGTAAAGTTAAAAAAATGTTCTGTGCATTTTTCTTGAAAAACATAATTTTTTTAAATTATTTTACGTTAAATGCTTCCAATTTTGTTTCTGGCGGAAATGAAATTATCTTCAACCAGCAGTATTTCAGCACCTATTACAACCACATAAATGGAAAAAAACTAAAAATTTTTCTTTTTCTATAAGCTTCATTTTCTTCGTGATATTTTTTTTTCATAGAATGTCTATTTTCCGTGTTATTAGAGAAAAATTACTAGAAACGTTTTTTTTTCAATAAAAAATGGACATTTTCCAATTCTCACCAATAACTCGGCAAATATTGACTTATTGAAAAATGTTCTTAAGATACTTTTTGCTTAAAATTGATTGCTTTATCGATTCCTTGGGTTATTTTCAATATTTTATTTTTCAACCCCTTGGCCAAAGCGATCATGGGCACTATATAACTTTTGTTCCTTCAGCTATTTTCTCCTCACAATCCAAGCTTCACGTCAATCGGTTCTATCCGAAAGAATTCGTAGAGGAAACCCTTGGTTCCTGGACAATTGAGGAATTACATATAAAATTATAGTCCTGGTTGCTTTTTTATTATCTATACATGCAGACAAATTACAATTCATTAAAATAAACTAAATACGAATTTATCGTATTGTTAACAGCTGTTATTATTTCAATTTTTGATATCAAGTACCACAACAGTATACCGAAAACGGTGACGTGCAGAACACTGTCCAGTATCCAAAATCTGAAATAAACAAAAATAATGTGTATATATGGTGTTAATGTAAGTTTTGCCAAACTTTAATGACGTATTCTACCCATGAAAATAATCAACTTCTGCCCTATAAAAATTTTTGATATGACGCTTCCCTACGGAGATACAGGGTGTTAAATGTTTCAAATATTTATACAGGGTGTTTCTAAAATAGGGTTCCAAATTTCTGCTGCGTTTATAACTCATTAAAATAAGCCAAAAAGTTCCTATTAACATGTGCCCTAAAACGCACCCTTAGGAAGTTATATGCCCTTAAAAGGGCTCAAACAAAACTGTTTTTTTTTTCAAATAAATTGCAGTTATGAAGGATCCGATCATTTAATAAATAATTTAGGACATAAACTAAGACTATTTAAATTTAGAGTTACACTTACTAATTAAAGAACTAATTACTACTGCAGACAATAGCTAAATGTGAAATAGAAAATAATGGGATTAAAATTAGTAATAATAAGTTAAATTACAAGAACTGCTCGAAGTGACCACCTTGCATTTCGATGCATAATCTAGCTCGACGCTTCAATGATTTGCGAACTCTTTGGAAAATTCTAGGTGTTTGCCTTATTTCCATGCACGCGGTTTCAATTTCCTCCCGTAGTTGCTGAATGGTCTCAATTGGAATTTTATAAACCTTTGCCTTAAGTTGACCCCACAAAAAATAGTCCAGGGGGTTAAGGTCAGGGGAACGTGGAGGCCAGGGAACAGGACCTCCTCGGCCTATCCATTTTTCTCCATACAACTCATTTAAGTGTTGTCTTACATTATGTAGGTAATGAGGTGGCGCCCCGTCCTGCATAAACCATATGCTTTGGCGTTCAATTAAAGGGACATCTTCCAAAAGTCCTGGCAAGTCGTTAACTAAAAAATTGTAATAATCCTCACCATTCAATCGATTAGGCAACACAAACGGTCCGATTAGCCGATCGCCTAAAATGCCTGCCCAAACGTTGACGGAAAACCGAATCTGATGTCTGGACTGAAATATGCTGTGTGGGTTTTCATCAGCCCATTCATGAGCGTTATGAAAATTGACATAACCATCTTTACTGAAGCTTGCCTCATCCGTAAACAAAATAAGAGATGCAAAATTCGGAATCCGCCTCGATTTTCGCAAAAACCATTGGCAGAACTGCCGACGTGGTTCGTAGTCATTCGGATTTAAAGCTTGAACACGCTGGATATGAAAAGGATGAAGTAGTTGTTCGCAAAGAATTCGCCAAACTACGGAAAAACTTATGTTATGCATACGTGCGACACTTCTTACACTAACCCTTGGATTGTCCTGCACAGCTCTCAATACATTTTCTTCCATCACCGGTGTTCTTACAAATCTGTCTCTGCCACGATCATTTACTCTTGGTTGGAACGAACCATTTTCTCTTAAACGTTGATGGATCCTCTGAAATACCTGTCGAGAAGGAAGTCTTCTATTCGGGTATGCTGCCGCATACAGACGCCTCGCTTCTGATGCATTTCCAGCCGCACGGCCGTACATAAAGTGCATATCTGCCATTTCCGTGTTTGAATATGACTCCATTTTATGAGTTGCAATAATGTTGTATACTTAAATTTTCCACTCACCACTTTTACTAATTAAACACTGCAAAGCTCAATTGACAGTTTATCAATAACTTAAATTGTTAAGCGTTGTGGCAACGTCAGTCTTTTATTTGCCATGGTAAACAGATTTTTGTAATTTTTGGCCTAATAACTTAAAGAGCAGAGTAATTTTCAAACTCAATTTACTCGAAAACCATTGGAAATATCGATTTGGACAAAGATAATATTTTTTACGTAAAATTGTTAAGATTTTATAAATCTGTAGAGAAAATTGTAAAAAAATTGAAATAAAAAAAATTACGGGCCGAAAACCCCCTTCACCAACCTAAATGGGACGCATATGATTTGCATGTCGAAAAACGGAGTAGCCCATGTTATTTAACGTAAAAAGTTATGTAAGACCCATAAATTTTTTTCTATTTATTTGCGACCGTTTTGTCAATAACAGAAAAAAAAACAGTTTTGTTTGAGCCCTTTTAAGGGCATATAACTTCCTAAGGGTGTGTTTTAGGGCGCATGTTAATAGGAACTTTTTGGCTTATTTTAATGAGTTATAAACGCAGCAGAAGTTTGAAACCCTATTTTAGAAACACCCTGTATTATTTGTACTTGATTTGATAAACCCACCGGCACAATGGTCGCACCAGCATTTTGAATATGTTGTACTGCATAAGGAACACAGCTGGTGGGAAAGCAGAAGGACGGGTAGAGGGTCACGCTGACATAGTCCTCTTGGCGGAGAGGGATATCATACCAAAATATCTACCATGAGGGTCGCTGAAGCAGAGGCTAAAAATATGCCACCACTTTCCTCTGGAAAGAGCAGTGGGAGCAGGAAGGTGATATGCTTTTCCCGGGATTCCTGATGGATCTCGGAGAGATGAGTATTCAGGAGCAGGAATATAGCTGAAAAACAGTGGTATCCAGGAAAGTTTTTCATTAGGTATGTATACCATAGTTTTCAGACAGAGGTTTTGACTATTTTTATGGTGGTAAGAAAGAAGGAGGTAAGGAAATGTGTAGAAGAGAGGATTTTTATCTACTACGACAGTTAGACTGATCTCATGCTGGTTAGCTCCCCGAGGACAAGGTCCGTCCTTGTTGAGGAGTGCGGAGATGCCCTGGAGTTACTGGTCAGACGAAGAGAGGTAGAGTTGGTTTGGGTTCGGGGCCACAGATATTTCCGGCAACGAGTGAGCAGATCAACTGGTTCGTCTTGGATCCAGGAGGCTTGGTCAGACACCTAAAGCAATCCTTGGAATTACTCGAGGTAGCATTAACGGGTCCCTTAATAAATAGGTCTATCAAACGTGAGGTTAAGGTTAAAACTGGAGGATGTAGGCAGAATCTACGAGCAGATGGCTACTGAGCCTTGGTCGAAGAGCCCTAAACTAAATGGTGGAGGTCCTTACAGGCCATTGCAGACTTCGGAGGCACTTAAGCTTAATGAGAATTGAGGAAGACCCTTGATGGCCGAAATGTGAAGAAGGGGAGGACAGCCTTATCGATCTTCTGGGATACTGCGTAGCCTTCGGGAAGTTGAGGCAAATAGTCTTTGGTACTGAAGAGTTGCAAGGGGACGAGGGTCATGGATTAAAATTCTGGCGTTCATAAGGATAGGACGGCGGGTCAAGAAAAAAGGGCCAACATGAGGCCTAACTGATAGGCTGGGGCCACCCAAATCTACTATTATTAATTCCTCTCTTGTACTTACTGGAGAACTGTTATACCTGTTGCTTGATTTGCTCCCAGATCAAGGAGATTAATGTCTGGTGATCTTGAGATCATAATGGTATTTAACTAGCCCCTTGCTCTCAAATTGTAATGATTAAATGATTTATTTTTACAAAAATAGCATGATTTTCTTCAAGGAATGTAAGAAATTCTTGTCCATCTAATGTTTCGGCCAAAATATAGGGAAATAATGTTTTCTATAATCTCTGTCCACACGTTTACCTTAAATTATCTTTGAAAACTTTAACTACGGCTAACAAGATATTTTTTGGTCCAATTTTCAACTAAGAAATTCAGAGAAAATTCCAATGTGTTCTTTGACCACTTATAAGAATTTTCTGAGAAAATCCCTCTTTTTGGATAAAACCGCCATACAAATCCGATGCCTTCATTTTCCGGCTCAACCGCCATTTTGGTTTATCAAATGACTAAATCGATGGATCCTTTAAGTTAAGTTTCTCATTACTTTTAGGCACATACCTTAGCGATAAAGTACGGTTCATCATTGAAGTCCATTTTCGTGGTCTGAATATATATTTTTTTAATTCTATAGGTACCATCTGAAAGAGCATCCTCAAAAAACAGAAAGTCTAGTAGGTTTGCTTTGATTCTTCGCCCGAGTGCAATGGTGTTTGCGTTTCAAAGGTACCTCCTCGAAAATCTGAATATAGTCCGGTCAATCTAGACATTCAAAGATACATAAATTTACAACAAGCTGAAAGTGAGTAAAGTTGTTCAAAACATAATTAAAAATAACATTAAAATTCCGCATCGTTCCGGTACTAGGAAAAAAATTTACTCGAGGTCAAAGGTCAAAAAAATGTGTTTTCGCGATTTTCAGCTAAACGGTAAGTTTTATCATTATCAAAATTATCAAAATTACTTCCAACAAAAATTTTAGATCATAAAATTATCTATAAAAAATGCATCAATACTTTTTTCCTAAGAGCCACCGTTTCTGAGATATAACGATTCAAAAAGTTGTAAAAGTTGTAATCGTCATAATATGACGTCATACTTAGCGCATTTTTTTAACGTAGTTTCCCCAGTAGGCCTATTCTGAATTGGTTCTAATGTAGTGTCGACCAACTTCCAATCCCAGTCTTTTGGGTCTAGCTGATAACCAAGCCACAGTTGAACTTGGTAATATACCCGAAAAAGATGTTGATGAGCAGCAACTGAGGTTGGAGGAAGACAAGCTAATTGCACTTGTTTTTTATTTCGAGGGTTTTTAAGGAAACATGCATATCGATACTTATCTAAGCAGGTAGTTTTTTTAGGAGCTCCGTACATTAAAAGAAGAAAGCGAATTCCGTTGGTGATAACTTCTTGTGGAGTTGAATTACTGTTTTTAAAAACTTCAGCACATTGAACTAAATCTTGTTTTTCAAACATTTTAAAAACTGTTGGTTTACCTCTCCTGTAAAATGCAGATGTCGTATCACAGCCAGTTATTGCGTGTTGTCTCAAGGTATACTGGCGTATAAATTAAGGGGTTGGGTTTCATTTTACCTGATATTCTCATAGTTATACTTATGTATATTTTATGTGTAAGTTACAATCACCGATGGAAAAATATTTTTACTTATATTACAGCTTCAGAGATGTATATACGTGGCGTACTATGCATATTATGACGATTACAACTTTTACAACTTTTTGAATCGTTATATCTCAGAAACGGTCGCTCTTAGGAAAAAAGTATTGATACATTTTTTATAGATAATTTTATGGTCTACTTTTGTCAGAGGTAATTTTATGATAAAACTTACCGTTTAGCTGAAAATCGCAACAAAACATTTTTTTACCTTTGACCTCGAGTAAATTTTTTTCCGAGTACCGGAACTATGAGGAATTTTAATATGTTATTTTTAATTATGTTTTATATAATTTTACTCACTTTCAGCTTGTTGTAAATTTATGTTCCTTCACTCTTATTTTTTGGTCTAATTTGATCGGACTAATAGTCAAATTATGTAATAGTCAAATTATTGTATAATAATTTAATAATTTCTCTATTTTTTACATCTGTTCTCAATTTTGGAACTCAAAACGTTATCCGATGGTCGATTATGAAATATTTTTCATTTTAGAATGAATTTTGCTTCGCGGTAAAAAACATCCTTTCTCAAGAACAAAGGAAGCGTTTCTTTATCAAAAACTATTTTATTGCCAGTGGCGGATTGCGAATTATCAAATGCCAATACTATTCTTATAGGCTGATTTAAGTAAAAATGTTTGATTTTCATTTAAATTATCCAATCAGAATGGAGTAAATTCTAATTTACTCTAGTCCTTGTAGTCCAGACGGTATCTGTTTCAAAAAGCCATATTTGGGTGAATCGTATATCCACGGAGATTTTTGGCTTTTTGGCTTTCAAATATCACTAGAAATTAAAATTTNACAACAAAAAAATTCCCTAAAAAGTATTGTTTTTTAACCCCATTTTAGTGATTTTTTCGATTTTTTACCATAGTAATCATCATTCATTCGATTTGTAACCAGTCATGGATTATAAAAAATTTAATTACAAACATTTTTTTCGTCTTCCATTTTCGCCTAAAATCAACTCTTAAAAAGATACATAATGAAATAGGAAGAAAAATATGACATTTTTCCAATTTTTTTAACATATTGTGCCGTCAAAAGTTAAGCCCACGTTTTTTTTATGCGCATAGAAAAATTTTCATTTCTAGTGATATTTGAAAGCCAAAAAGCCAAATATCTCCGTGGATATACGATTCACCCAAGCCAAAACAGATACCGCCTGGTCTATTGTTAATTCAGTATAAAAGTTTAATTTTCTTTCCTATTAATTTTGGCTACTATATCATCATCAGAAAAGAAGGAAAATGACAATGAATTTATCACGATGACTTAATAGTTTTTTAAAAATTCACTCATATTTTCATATTTAGGTAAACAAAAAATAGAATGTGACGACTTTTAAGTCATCGGGACAGATTGGGGCGCAACAATATTGTTGGTCCTCAATCTTCATCTTCAATCTCAATTTTTATATTTAAACAAAAATTATAATGTTATTTATTAGTAGTTTATACAGCAAATTATTCTCCAAAGATTAGGAATAGTAGGAAAAAAAATAAAATATTTTTATACTGAATTAAAAAGGACTCTAATCCCATTGTATCTAATCAGTATAATATTTGCAACTTTCGGCAATAGGAACATTGCTTAAGATATTAACTTAAGATATTAACTGAACAAACAATTACCTATTAAATCCGTAACCTGTAAATATCATATATTTTTTTAAACTTACATCATGGTGTTTCTTAATCCCTTTTCTCTTTTGTATTCTTCATTAAACAGTAACTTTGAAGAAGCTATCTTTGCTTGGCGACAATGTGCATATTTACCATCTGAGGTCATATCAAAATAGTGTCCAAAAGAAAACGTTTGTGTTCCATCTTCATCTACATGTTTCTGTAAAGCTTTCACTTTTGCATTTTTAAATTTCCATGAATTTGTCATGAAATGCGATAGTGCCGTATTAGCCACAAATAATTTTCGCTGAATTTTAAGCATCCTAAAAATTAAATATGAATCGTGCACTAGATTAGAGTGGTCATCTTAGCCTTCTATAATTCCTTTCGCAAAAAAATAAAGAAAATATACAGAGCCATCTGTAATTGATACCACACAAAAATACAATGTTCTATAAGTCTGTTTAGAAATGAAAGAGAGTAATAAAAGCTTATTATATATGCAAATCGTAAATAAATGTAGTACTGGTGCTTATATTCAATATTTTTATATTATGTATTATCGGTATAGATGAGGTGTACTTTTAAAAAAACTTTGTGTGACCGGGTTGTACTAAATTGTAGCAGGTAGCTAAAATTTAATCCCCGACAATCCGTCTTTGTCTATGNCAAGTGAATTTTGAAGGGATAAAATATACAGGGTGATTCACAAATAGTGACCAAAAATGAAACCTCGTATTCTTTGATGAATTTTAAGGGCAATTTTTCCTAGGACGCTTCGTTAAAAAGATACAAAATATTTTTAATTTTTTTAAATAATTTAAAAACTAGCAAGTGAAATAATTTGAAATTGGGCACATGTATTTATGTAAATATTGTCCAAAATTTGAGGACTTTTCCTAAAATGTACATGCTCCAGTGGCAGAGATACAGGGTATCGGTGGCATACTTTTCTAAATAAAATAGTACGCCACTGCTTTACGGTAACAACCATGATATTTTCGAATTCGTCTTTCAATTTTGTATAAATTACTACGTTCTTATATTTTTCGAAAAAAGCATGATTTTCGAGTAAAACTTAAAAAACCAACGAACACAGGCGCGACATCTTTTTAGTAACGAAAATGTAGGTAATTTGTTCGAAATTTATTGTAGCTTGAATCTAATCATTCTTTCTTCTAACTGCTCAGAATGTCAAAGTCGCAGCCCACTATGTAATTTTAAAAAGTATTATATTCGAATATCGAAGTGTATTCTCAATTCGTATTTTAAGTTTTACTCGAAAATCAGGCTTTTTTTCGAAAACATAGGAGTAGTAATTTGTAGAATATTGAAAGACGAATAATCGCAGTACCTACTATTTAACTCGACAGGTCACCAACTGTCATGATATCACTTCAAAGTCATTGAATGTCAGATGTCTCGTCCCATATGTAGAGGTCAAGTGAAAGTCACCGTGACCTCTATCAATGTCATCCAGGTCACGGGTGACGTCGCCCAAGGTCATTCCAAGGTCACCCACGATAACTCCAAGATCGAAAGTGGAGGGGGGAGTCTCAGCACCGGCTATAGTATATACACCAATGGGGCATATCGGCGTGTAGATTTGTGCAGTTTAACTGTTAAAGATATAGAAGATACGGGGAAAATTTACATGATACCAAAACTAAAAAGAAACGTGTATTTACCGTATAGCTCAGTATATGACGGTTTTTAGGTCCGAATTCTTGACACATGCACCGATTGAATTTTAACAGTAAGTAGAAAATTGCCCAAGAAACAAAAGTTACATAGTGCTGATGTGTGCTTTCACCCTGGGGGTGAATGCCACCCCTTCTCGGGGGTGGCAATGACGGCACCCATTATAACCGCAAAAATCAATAGAGGGATGAATTCTAAGCAAAAAATGCTCTATAACGTTTTTCCAAAAATTAATATTTTCCGAGTAATTTGCGATTGAAAATGTTGATTTTTCATCTAAAAAGTGCATGTTTTTTCAACCATTTTTGATAAATAACTCGAAAACCTTGCATTTTATCGAAAAATCCATATATAGCAAAAATAAAGCTTTTGAATTAACGAATCGATTCATTTGTTGACTACCGTAGTTGTAATAATAACCGAGTTATCACTCTCTAAAGATGATTGTTTATTTTTCGGAAAGTAAAATCGAACTTTTTACCGTAAAATAATGGCGAAAGAACTAATTTTTCGAAGAAAATGAATATAACCTTTTTTAAAGTGATTGGAAAGACCTTTAAAATGCTTTTTGAAAAAATTTCGTAGCTCAAAAACTCGTGGAGTTATGATGAAATCAAAATGGTCATTTCATTTCTTCGGAGAAAAAATCAACAATAAAATCTATGGCTGAGCCATAAAAATAGAAACTAAGCGTAATACATGTACTGTGGACTTTATTTAGGTACTAATAATAAGCTCTGCACGTTTGACCGGTTTAGAATGCCTTTTAAAAAATGTTTGAAATAATGAAAAATTTTTTTTTAATTTTAAAAAAAATTTCCTTTTCTTCAAAGTAACTCAGAAACTAAACAATATACGTGAAAAATGCAAGAGTTCAAAATTAAAGGTCTTTTTTATAATATTTTTGTTGTCTTTCAATATTTCTGTAGAACAAAAATTAACTGAGATATTACGTTTTTTAGTTTGCATTTGCGTGTAAGGACTACCTTCTTTGTGCCCTTAAAACCTAAAAATCTCGAAAACGAAGAGTTCAAGACCCTTCAACTACATAGTATACTTGTAGCTCTTGCAATTCCCTGCAAATTGCTTTCTGGAGCGATGAAAAATATTAAAATTAAAAAAAGTTATCGTGAAAAACGAATTGGTATTGATAGCATTATGAATTCAACTGATTGGGCATAGATTAAAAATGAAAATTCTCTCCAGCCAATCAAAATGTTCAACCAGCTCGCATCCGAAGAACTTTTAAAAATGATATTTTGCAATTGCAAAGAAGGATGCGGTGCGACTTGCAGTTGCCGCAAAGTGGGACTCTATTGTAATGCGACATGCGGAACATGTTCTGGGAACAGTTGCCAAAATTGTCCTCCAATCACGGACCAAACAGAGGAAGTCGACAGTGATGATAGTTCTTTAGATGATATGTAAATTTTTGATAATAAAGTATAATTGTATAATACATAATATAATTTAGTTTCCCTTTCACTAATTACATAATTTAAGTTTCGAGTTTTAAGTAATCTCATTGAATTTAGTAATGTATCGTTGAGTGTTTTGAAGCAGATAAAAATTCTTCAATTCCTCATTAAGGGTTGTTTTTAAGTTTTGAAACGTTGCAATGAATCATCAGTAATATTATAAACAGTGATAAGTCTTTCATTCATTATGAGTGCTATGAAGATGTGAAAAAAATTTTTTGCTTTATTTTCTGCAATTATATTTTGGTTCTTAAGGGTTGAAACGTTGCAATAAATCATGTATTATTTCAGAAACAGTAAAAAATATTCAATTCTTCATTATTGTTCCGTCAAAACAATTCAGAGCCGTGAAAACTAATTTTTGTTTTTTTTTCCTCATAAAGGGTGGATTTTAAGAAATGTTGAACTGTTGCTACAAATAAAAAATTATAATTTAAGACATAAAAAATGCTTATTCTATTGACATAACACTTAAATCTATGGTTTTTACGTTTTTTGCAAGAAGGGGTAGTTTTCACCTCCTAAAACGATAAGCACACATTATGGATATGTAACTTTTGTAAAGGAGGGTGAAATGAGCTTTCTCACCAATTTTCATGAAAACTGGTGCGTGTGTGAAGAATTCGGAGGACCTTATTTGTATCGTTGTATACTGGACTAGTAGGATAGTAATGCAACGGATATGAAATTTATCATAAGTATTTACAATGGAGACCCAAACGAGCAAAACACAATAGATTTTTCATTTACTATATTCACGGTGCACAATACAATCAGTTGGCGTCAACAGTTTTGCAAAAATTCCTGAGAGTTGTAGAATACTTCCCAGATGCATCCAGTTACACTGGCCAATGTTTGAGGAGGACGTCTGCCACCTTCCTCTCTGACAGTGGAACTTATATTCAAATAATTAAAAGACATGGAGGATGGCAGTCAACTAGTGTGGCTGAAGGGTATACGAGGAAAGTATCGTTAATAAACTGAAAATTTCAAAAAGTATACTTATTTCATCAGCAAGAACTAGTGGCACCTCAAGATCATTCAGGAATATATACAGGGTGTTTGGTAAGCATATGGCATACTCTTGGGAGTGTATAGGGGAGATCAAAATAACCCTAGTTTGTCATAAAAATTTTTTTCTTAAAGTGCCCCTTAAGGGGGCGATTTAGTATGTATATTTTTACCGTGTAACAGAGCTTCAGATTAGGAGGACACAAATCATCGAAGAAACTAACATAATTGAGTATTATTATATATCAATGTATTCGCAATGGTTCCCCCTAGTGAGTGAGATAAATTTCAATGCTCATGAGAACAGAAGAATAATTTAAATAAATGCCAAAGTACCTCAATTTTAACCATACTGTTAGTCTGCCAATATATTGCATTTCCGACGGAACTAGGTCAGGCACAATAACCAAACTACTTCACTCACTAGAACGGACACCTAGGATCATTTGTATTTAATTTTCAGATTAATATTTATTAATAATTCTATAATTTGTGTCCTCAAGTAAAATGACAACATTTTACACACGACTCCATTTTTATTATGTATCTAAACCAGAATTTCGAGATTCCTATTCTATTATAACTATAATTCGTTTGTATACTCTCTCACAGGTGTCGCTACCCTTGAAAATGAAAGTGAAAACACAGAGCTGGTTTATTATAAAATGCGTGCTAAAATAAAGCATAATGGTCTAATATTATATTTGATATATAAATATGGGTAATTTTTTAAAAGTACCTAAGTAATAAGATTTTGTAAAGCTTAAGTAGTACGAAAATATAACGCATAAAAAACCAATAATATGTACCAATTTTTCTTTATTAAGAATAAAGATTAAATTTTACGTATAGGGTGTGATGTACTTTCGAGGTTCGGTCTCAGACGCCGAACTAGTACAGTCACAGTCCGGGTTCACACGGTGGAGAAGTGTTTTCCAAGGTTCGGGAATATTACAAGACTTGGTATCAATAAAATAAATCGCAGTCTATAAACACATAATATAATATTAACAATAATACCCTACCCATATAAATAACAAAAACATTGGGATACCTATTCTGTCGCGGAAAGACCTGCTAAACACCCGGAGTCGGCCGCGAGGTAGACGTCAGGTACTGCGGAAAGACCTGCT